TTGGTTTCCTGGGGAAGCCCGACGGGGGCCGACGCCCGATCGGTTTCCTCTGCATGTGGCTGCGCATCTGGAGCCGTATCAGGCGCAAGTATTGCGCGGCCTGGGAGAAGGACCACAAGCTCCCCGAATTCTGGGGGGCAGGCACGGACACCTGTTGTGACAGGGCGGCCTACATCCACAACCTTCTGCTCGGCCTAGCGCGAGAGAAGAACTTCGAAGCGGCATCGGTCTACTTCGACATCAGCAAGTTCTACGAGCAGATCAGCCACAAGCTGCTACTCGAAGCGGCACGGGGCTGTGACTTCAACGCGGGGTTGATACAGGCGCTGCGTGTGCTGTATTCGGGCCCTTGCAGGGCCAGGGCTGGCCTAGCCCTCAGCGAGCAGCTGGTCATAGACGACACCGCCATCGCTGGCTGCTCCTGTGCGACGACCATGGCGAGGATCATGCTTTACGGCCTCCTGCTGCAGTCGAGGAAGATGCTTCCGATAGGCAGGGTGGTCAACGTGATTGATGACATCTCGGGCCACGGCATCGGCACGCGCAGGCTCGTCGTCGAGCAGATCGCCAGGTTCGCGAAGGGAGTTGCCACCATGCTGGGGGACAAGCGGCTCCCCATCAACTGGGGAAAGACAAAAGTACTGGCTTCCTCAGCGAAGCTGAGGAGAGAGCTGCAGCAGCACGCCAACTGGGTCCTCGCAGACGAAGCCTTTGTCGCTGGCCACCGCGACCTCGGAGGAGACGCGACAGCGGGCAGCCACCGCAGGGTCGGGACGCAGGTGGCCAGGGAGCTGGCGGCGCTGCGGCAGGGCAACAACCTCACCAGGATCTTCGGCTCGGGGATGAGGCAGGCCAAGATCCAGAGGGCAGGCCCCGCTGCCAAGGCCCTGTGGGGCTCGGCCATCAGCGGGATACCGCCTGGGCGCATGAGGGCGCTCAGGATATCTGCAGCGAAAGCCGCCTGCAACCTGCCGACGGGCGCCGCGCCGACGTTCTGCCTGCAGTGCGCGCCCCAGGGCTGGAGGCAGGATCCGCTGGTAATTGCGACGGGCATGGCGGTCCAGGCGTTTGTGGCCATGAGCTGGTCTGGCCAGGCCTCGCCTGCGGCAGTGCAGGCCTGCCTCAGGGACAGCAGCCGTCTGGCCTCGCTGCAGAGGCCGTGGGCCGCGGTGCGCGACCCCGTCTCGGCGCTGGTGCTCACGCTAAGGCGGGCCGGCTGGGGCCTCAGAGCAAGCGGTCGCATCCTGACCGACAGGGAGGGCTGCGAGTTCGATGTCATGAGATTCTCGCCCGCTTTCCTCGCCGCCAGGGTCAAGGAGGACACGCGTCAGGCGGCCTCGCTCGAGGAGTACGCCAGCAGGCCCGAGACTTTCTGGCAGTGGGAGCTGCCGCCGTGGTGGACGCCGATCAACCAGCTCATAGGGGCCAAAGAGTCAGAAACCTGGACGGGCCACCACAAAGGCTGCTTGAGACGTTTGGCGTCGTTGGCCAGCTGGCCCCAGGCCCGTCTGGCGAGGCATGGGCGTGAAATAGACCCACTCTGCAAGTTCTGTGGCGCCGCCCCTGGGACGATGCACCACAGACACCACGAGTGCCCAGCTTGGGCGGCCTGGAGGAGGGACTATTGCCCATACCAGGTGAGCCAGGCAGCGGTGCAGGTCCACCGCATGGGGGCCCCCTTCGACGAGCTTTTCTGTCAGGGGCTCTTCGCCGACATCAGCCTGCTGGTGGCCAGACCAGCCTGGAATGACTGCTGGGCGAGACGATCCTGCGGGTGGGGGGACGGCATCCTGGTGGTACCCGATGGGTCTTTCGTCTTCACCGACGGTTCGTGCCTGAACGGAGATTTCCCGCACGTCAGGAGCGCGGGTTGGGCGGTCATCGTGCACGGTCCAGAGGGGGGGCTCATCGCCGAGGCGTGGGGCGCAGTGCCCCCCAGCGACCTCCCGTCGCAGACGGCCAAGGCGGGCGAGGACTACGCTGCCGCCATCGGCCTCGCCGACATCATCGGGAACTACACGCTGCTTAGCGACTGCCTGAGCACGGTCAAGGCTGCGTCTAACCTGGCCAAGGCCTGTGGCCCCAGCTCCCTGCACGCCCACGTTTGGGCCAGGGTGGGCGATGCGGCGGAAGGCGTCACCATTCGCCACGTGCCCGCCCACCGCGCTGAGGCCGCGGTGCAGGACGGGGATCTCGCACTCTTCGAGCTAGTGGGCAACAGGCGCGCCGACACCAGGGCAAAGGAAGGAGCGGCCTTTCACGCCATTGCGGAGCATGACGCCCTGATGTTGGAGGGCTGCCTGGCTCGGGCGAAGGAGGTGGCCAGGTGCGCGGCTGCCCTCGAGGTGCACATCACTGAGTCGGGGCTCAGAGACTCCTGGCCGCTCACCTCTCTGGACCTCGTGGACCTGGACCCCTACGCCCCGTCGCCCGCCCTGGGGCTGCTACTGGAAGCTGAAGAGTCGACTGCCCGTGGCCCTGGCGGCATGGCGGCCCCAGGGGCGGCAGCAGCGCTGGCGACGGCAGCGGCGGTCAGCCAGGGAGCCCAGTCCCAGGGCCAGGCAGACTCGAAGGAGTGCATGAGGAAGGAAGCGGACGTGGGGCCAGGCGGGCCCAGCGAGCCAGCCGCTGTTGAGTCGAGCGCGTCGGCGGCATTGCATCGTGCGGTCCAGCGTCGCCGTGCTGAGCAGGCGGAGCGGACAGCGCCCTCTGCCGCGGACGCGCTGTGCCCGCCCATGTCGGCTGTGTCGTTGCCCCCTCCCCCTCCTTCCCCCGCGGCCTCTCCTTCCTTTGAGGCCGCCGTCCCGCCTCCGAGTGCTCTCTCGGGCCCTTCTAGCCAGAGGCCAAACTCTGGCCAAAGGTCGAGGGTCTCCTTTTCGTGTGGTTCGCGTGATGGCCTGTCCCAGGTCGACCCTGGAGAATCGGGAGTCTGGGAGGTCAACGGCCACCGTCTTCGCGAATCGCGAGTTTCTGGCGGGGACGGCCCTGAGTTTTTGGTGTGTGTGGCGTGCTGGATGTATTGCATGAAACCCAGGTACTGCCACAGGGGACTGGCCAAGGCCTGCAGCGGGGCCCAGCGAGCTGACGACCCTAGGGCCAAAAAGGGCTCAAGGGCGCAGGCACGGAATGATTTCGCGAAGTCGATCCTGCCTGGGAAATCCAAGCAGCCGATCGATCAGCTGGCTCGGCCCACAGCGGCCACCCGCGCCAGGTGGGCCAAGTCGCTAGGCTCGGTCGCGGGCCCTGGGGGCGTGGGGGACTCCGAGGCCCCTGCAGGCTCCAGAGCCCCAGCAGTGGAGCCCCCAGTGCTGCGGGAGCGGGCACCTGCCCCGCCTGCCCCTGGGAGGCTGTTTCGCCCAGGGCTCGAGGGAGCCCTGAGCTCTTTCGGCTTTGCCAGCGCGGCTGACGCACAGGAGCGAGGTAGGGTCGCCAGGGCGGCCAGGTCGGCGGACCCCAGGCCAGTGGTCGGCCTGAGCGCGGAGTGGCGGTCGCGCTTCGGGGTCTGGGCCTGGTCGGCTGCGGGCCCGTGCAAGCTCTGTTTGTGGGGCCGTAAGACGGCGTCCGAATTTGTTTGTGCATGACAAGCCCCAGGGTTATAGGATAAAAAAATGCCCCCTCCGTAAAACATTGGTTTCACTTGCGTTTCGGATGTTCTAGGGGGTCCGCCTTTTCGGCTTGCCGATGCTCCAGCCCAGCCCCAGAAGCACCCAGGATTGCGTCGGAGGTTCCCCCCCGGGCGCGCCCGGAGCATCCGAGAGGCCCCCACATCGCTCCAGGCAGCCTCCAGGACAGCCCAACAGGTCACCGAGCCGCTCCCGAGTCGCCAGAAAGTCGTTCCCACACGCAGGCGGTCGCCTCCTGTCGGCTCACCATGCCCCCGAGGCGCTCCACGAAGGTTTCCCGACGGCCCAGACGCTCCGAGAGGTCTCCCAGACGGCCCTCAAGAAGGCCACTAGATACACAAATCATTGGTTTCTCTAAGATTTGGGATGTTTTTGTGGGTTTCCGCGTTTTCGGCTTGTCGACGCTCCAATCCAATCCGAAAAGCACCACCACAAGGGGCGCCCGGAGCACCTAAGAGGCCCTGAAACTTTACAAGGCACTTACAGGACAGCACCGAGTCGCCCCCGAATCGCCAGAACATCACTCCGACGCGCCCGCGGTCGCATCGTGACGGCCCACGCACGCCCCCGATGGGCTTCACGAAGGCTTCCAGACAGCCCAAACCGCCCCACCTTCCCTTCCCTGAGGTGCGTTTTCCGCCCCAGGTAAACTTTGGATGGCCTCGGGAGGCCTGCGAAGCGGCTCCCCAGTGCGCCGAAATGAGGACGAAAACGCCAGGATCAACACAGGCCAGTCCCTCGGAGGTCAGGGGTGGCAGTGTGTACGGCAAGTTCGCGTCGTGTCGATGCGGCGTCCACCCCACCGCGGGCGCTCCATGTTGAACGCCGACAGCGCCCTGGAATCAACCGACGTCGAATCATCCGCCGCGCTGTCCGAGAGCCGCGATCGTCCCAGGTGGAACGACCCACGCGGTGCCAGAAGCACCAGCGCAGCAGCCGCCACGGCGGGAGCCATGCCGCACGCTACAGGAGGAGGAGGAGGAGGAGGAGGAGGAGGAGGAGGAGGAGGAGGAGGAGGAGGAGGAGGAGGAGGAGGAGGAGGGGACAGCGCCGACAGGAGGCGCCGGGAGCACCAGCTGCATGCAGCCGGACCCCTGACCCCCGCATCCGGCCGTGCGGGCTGGCCTCCTCGGCTGGATACGGCGTGCCTCGCCAAGCTCGCCTCGCCCCGCCTCGCCGCATCCCTCTTCCTCCTCCTCCTTCTCCTCCTCCTCCTCCTCCTCCTCCTCCTCCTCCTGGACGGGCTCGTAGAGAGGCTAGGTAAGGAGATCAGACTTTCCTGCGGACGCTCCGCCTCCTCCTGCTCCCCCCTCTCCGAAACTAACGCGCAAGTCGCCACTGCACGAACCCGCCGTGGTTGCCGCCTGCCGCAAGGAGGCTGCCAGGGAGGCCCGGCCCGAGGCCCAGGCCCTGGGCGCCACTGGCGCCGCTCGGCGCAGCCGCGTCGCCACGCGGGCCGTCACGGAAGCCGTGGCCAGGACCACCGGAGGGGGCCAGCTGCACACCTCTCTACACGGTTCCTGGCTGGGCCGGTGCTCCCACACCTCAGACGGCATTAACACACTTCCTTGGAGGTCCGCGCGCGTTTCTTGGATCGGCGCGGGGCACCCCTTGCGGCGCATCCTTTCGCCGCCCCTGTCGCGCTCCAGCGCCAGTCCAAGAAATCGGGGCGGACCTTTGAGAAAATATGTTTATTGAATCGCTTCGCTCATTCCGCCGGCCCGTGATATGGCATCGCTGGTTTTTGTCTGTGTGTTCGTTGCCCATGTTGCGCTCTTGGGGGCGGGTGTCGTTCGGACGCGTTGCGTGGGGAGTTTTGATGGTGAAGCAGTTCCCTGGGGGTCGTCTCTCGATGGGGCGAAATAGAGTCGTCGTCAAGATGCTTCTTTGGGGGGCCTCTTGGGGTCTGTTGAGAGGCCGTTCGGGGGCGCCTGGGAGACATGTTTGAAGCCTTCTGGGGCTTCTTTTGGGCCTCCTGGGAGTCTCCTGGGGCCTCTTGGCGACATCTTGGGGCCTCTTGGAGGCCTCTTGGGGCCTCTTTGGGACCTCCTGGGCGCCTTCTGGGACGGAGGGCTCCATTTTTGAGTTCTCGGTATCCCTCCTGAGTCCCTCTTGGGCCCGTCTTGGGGCCTCTTGGTCCGTCTTGGGCGGCACTTGGGCCGTCTTGAGGGCTCTCTTGGGTCGTTTCGGCGCCGTCTTGGGAGCTTCGTGGGCCGTCTTGGAGCGGTCTTGGGGGCCTCTTGGGCCGTCTTGGAGCGTCCGGAAGCCGAAAAAAGCCAGAACACAAAAAACATAGAACAAAAACCAATGAAAATCAACGATTTTGGCCTCTTGGGGCTCTCTTCGGAGGCCTCTTGGAAGGCTCTTGGGGCGTCTTGGAGGCCTCTTGGGCTGTCTTGGGGGCCTTTTGGGCCGTCTTGGGGTCATCTTCGGCGTCTTCGAGCGCTCTTTGGGCGTCTCGGGGGCCTCTTGGGCAGTCTTGGGGGCCTCTTGGGGCACTCTGAGCGCGCTCTGGGGAGCCTGAGAGGCCGCACCCAGAAGGAAAACCATCTCTGAGTAGACTTGGTCGGGCGGCGACCGGGCGTTGGTCGGGGTACTTTTCGCCGGGGGACCCCCAGGGGCCGCCCCGCGCGCGCGAACTAGAAATACTGTTAATACTGTTAACCAGTTACCGGAGATCTTAGCACGCCCTGGCCCGTTGGGCCGGCGAATTTCGGATGCAACTCGTGCAGGGAGGTCAAATTCTGACCCTGCCCTGGTCCTTAATCCAGCTTAATCCCGCACATCCAGCTGAATCCGGCTTGTTCTCGTGTAGTCCGTGGCCTAATCCGGCGTAGCAGCCCCCCAATGGGCCGCCTTTCCTTGCGTCGTGACCACAATCACGGCGGGCGGCTTTTTGGGAGCCTTTGGTTTCTGGGGGGTGGCCCTCGTCGGACCCCGGGCCCGTGCACAGAAAGACTCGGAATGGAAAAAGCTGGTCCTGGGGAATACGCGGGTACACGCAGTGAACAAAAATCACGACGGTGCAGTCATGGGCTGGGCCCACACCCAGGATGGGTGCGAAACGCCTTCCTAGCCCAGGGCCCATTTCGATCCGATCGATCCGATGCCGATCTCGATTCTGGCCTGCCCGATTCGATTCGATGCCGATCTTCCGACGATGCGACATGGCCCGAGGTTCACATGGCGCTCCCGTGCATCTTGGCGCGGCCGACTCGACTCGATGCCGACTCCGTGCCGATGCGGCCCGATTCGATGCCCCCTTCCGATCCGCTCAGCTGGATCGACCTGGTGTTGGCCGCTCTTGCCTGGCCAGGCCAGGAGGGCGTGCACCCGGTGCTGGGCCCGTCCCTGGGAGCCCCCGGCCAGGGCCGGCGTGGCGTGTGCAGTGGGCAGCCCTCCTGCAGGATCGCCGAGGAGGCCAGGAGCAAGGCCTGGAAGAGAGGAAGGCTCCACCGCCAGGCTATGTCCACAGCCACCGCTTCGGAGTCGTGCCCTGGGATCTCGAGGAGCGGTGGATTGGATATCTTCCCGCCCGCGTTGGCGGGCAAGTATCCACATCCGCCGCTCCCCGAATCCTCGGAACACAACCCAGCAGCAGCGGAGATGGCCATATTCTGGCGGCGCAAGAGCAGCCTGTGCATGCCCGTCGGTCGTTGAAAGTCTTAGCTGCCTCTGATACGCCCGTTTGAAACGCAACACGTGCCGCGCTCAAGATGTCCGTGTCAAGATGTTGCGTGTTGGTTCAGCGTATTGGTCCACGTTTTGGCTAACGTGTTGCGTCAGACCGACGTTCTCGGTCTACGTGTGGAGCTCCGGATCAATTCGCTACGTGTTGCGTGTTGCGTATCGGGGCAGCAAAGTTGAAAGTAGGTTTGTTTTGATTCCCTGATCTCAATCTACTTTGCAGTCAACCCGTACAGTGAGGACGCAGGATAAGGATGCAATGGCCTTGGAAGGTCACGTCGACACTTTGCGAGCGGGGCGGGGCGAGCGAAAGCGGCCAAGGATGGGCCGAAGGGGAAGAGTGCAATGTTGACTTTAGGAAGTCGTTCATCCTTACTATGCGGGTTTACTGTAGGCGCCTTCCTACTGCAAGAGCCGAGTGGTTGTCCCTCTTCCTTCCTCTTCAGGGGGCGGGCGGAGGTCTAATGCCTTCCTGCTCCATGCTTCGACCAACTGCTTCCGACCGACGGGTAAGCAAGGGATTGTTCGGAGGTCCGCGCGGGTCGATTTCTCGGGTCGGCGCGGAAGTCCAGGCGGCGCCGGGGCGCGCCAGGGGTGGGGGGTGCAGCGCCGACCCGAGAGAGAGCGGCGCAGAGTTCCGAATGTTGGTGATTCGGTTGTCTTCTCGTCCCTCCAAGGCCGCGGCCAAGGTCAAGGCCCAGGCCCTCGAGAGGTCCAGGATGCGCAGGGAGGGAGAGGGGTGGGTGGGAGGGGGATGCAAACAAAAGAGAGAGAGAGAGAGAGGGAGAGAGAAAGAGAGAGAGAGAGAGAAAGAGAGAGAGAGAGAGAGAAAGAGACGGAGGGAGATAAAGCGAGAGAGAGAGAGAGAGCGAGAGTGTGAGATCGGACAAAATGGGAGTCCCGTCGGCAGCCGGCTACTTAGGTAGCCGAGGCTGTCGCATTCTTTGTGGTGGTTCAAACTTGAGGAAAGGGGGATGTTGAAACAAACACCCCCCGGCGCTAAGCGACTGTAGCAAGAGACGGGGTGCTGAGCAGACGATGCGCCACGTCTCACTGCGCCCCGCGTGGGGAAAGGGCCCAGGTCGGCGAGGCCCTGGTTGGAGGCCGGGCGACGAGGGCTTGACCGCTGAGCGGCTTGCGAATGACGGGGCGTCCCCCGCCGCCGCAGCCAGGCCCCGATGACGCGTGGCCGCGCGGGCAATCGGGCTGGCAAGAGGTGGAGCTTACGGCAGTGGTGGAGGCCCTGTACGGGCATGCGTGGCACCAAGAAGGTCATGCGGCGCTGGGACGTGTGACGCCCCGTCGGGCGGAGGCGAGGGCCGGAGGGGGGCGAGAGGGGCCTGAGCGCGGTGAAGGCGTTGCGTAAGCAGGCTTTGCTGGGAGGTCAAGGAGCGAACCCGACGGGCAAGCGCGGTGTACTGGATATTCAGGTAGTCGCATGACGCCTGGAGTTCTGCGGGTCGACCCTGGGCAGGACGATGGGCATGAGGCGGGCGGGCTGCAGCAGCCCTGCTGGCGAGGTGCGTGGCGAGGTCCGCGCGGCGGTCAGTGCTTCGCGTGGTCATTAGTTCGGGCTTGGGGGCGACGGCGGGCGTCGCCGCGGGAGCCAGTCGACCGACAGGGGGGGGGCTCGTCAACACGGCTCGGCTCGGGCGGGCGGCAGAGGGTGGGGGCCAGGCAAGAAGCGCTGCTGGCAGCAGCTACCGCAGTGGGAGGCCCACTGGGCGTGATAAGGCGAGCGCCCGACCGCTTCGGGGCGGCGCGGAGTGAGCCATCGGCGCGTGGAACTGAAAGAAGCGGCTGAGCCCTGGTCCGCGTGTCGGACTCAGCGGCCGGGCCGTGAATAATCGTGGCCTGGGGCGACGGGGAGCTGGTGTCCTCGTCGTTCCTGCTGCCCCCACGGCCGAACGGGTCTTCCTCGCCATCGGGACCTGAGCCGCAGTGCAAGTCGGCGGCGGCGGCGCGGTGGGGCGGTGGCGGGGCCGGCTCGCCAGTGGGCACGATTGTGGTCGGTGCCCCTGCACCGTCACCGTGGCGTGTGGCAGCAACGGCAACGCTGTTGGGGGGCGGTGGGTCAGGCTCACCGGAGGGCACAGCTGCGGTCGGTGCCCCTGGGCCGGTGGTTGGGGGGGCCGACGGAGGCTTGGTGGCATCGTGGCATGGATCGTGGGAGCGTTGAGGTCGTCCATAAATCCGCCGAAGCCAATGGGTCCTCGTCTTCGTCGCCCTCGGAGTCGACGAGGCGCTGGGTCTCCTCCCAGAGGTCGTCGGGATCCTCCTGGAGCCGCTGGTGGTCGCTGGGCGCGGCCGCCGCGGTGAGCATGGTGTTGGGTTCAAGCTTGTCTAGCTGGGCGTTGGCGTGGCCCGCTCGTCTGTGAGGGAACAGAGAGCGCGGTGTCGCCTGTCCCAGATGGCGACGGCGACGCTATGCAGCACGACGGCGAAGCGGTGGCGTTGTTTGGCCTCCTCGACCAAGGGAGACGGCAGGTGGTGAAAGGGCGACCAAGTTGGTGGCCACGTGGTCGGCGTGGCGGCGCATTTTCCCGCAATGGTATTGGTGCGGCGTTCGCGCGCGCCCTCGTCGCCGAGGTGGCCGGTAACCTTTTTCGACCGTGAGGAGGTCTGACTGGGCAGGGGCGCAGCGATGGACGCGGGCCCACAGGCGGCAGAGGGTGGCCGTCCAGAAGCCGCTGAAACCAGTCGGCCACGGCTTTGTTGTCCGCGAAGATATGGGCAGACCGCTCGGCCGTGGCGACGCGATTGAGCAGGGCCAAAGTCTCGGCTCGCTGCGCTTTCTGGGCGAGACCATGGGCGCGGGCAAAGTGGTTGATGCGATGTCTGCTGCCGTAGTAGACACCGGAGGTGCCGCGCCGGTAGCGGGGTGGCTGGGCGCGAGCAGCAGGCCCCGTCCGTGCCCGCGCGCACCCGCTGGCTGCTGCCCGGGTCGGCGCAGGTGGCGAAGGCGTCGCTGTCGGGGCCATCGGCCGGAGATCGGGGGGTGGGCCAGGGCACCGGGCCCTTGGAGGGCTCAGCCTGGAGGTCGAGATGGGCGGCGGATTCGTCGATGAGGCCGCAGTGCCGCGCGCGCGGCGGGGGGCCTTCCATTGCTTTTCCGAGATCATCGCGGCCTGGCGTCGGCGTTCGCGTTTCCAGCAGGGGCGCCTCTAGATGGTGTGCTCTTGGGTTTCCTCGTCTGTGTCGCAGTTTCTGCGCGCTGGGCTGGGGCCCGCGGGAATGCCGGCCTGCGCGCGGCGTTGTTGGGCGTGGTCGCCGCCCGAGAGGTAGCTGTAGAAGAGGCCCAGGTACCGGGCGGCGGTTTCGCGGGCCGCCCTGTCGCGGGCGGGCCACGCGGCGCGAACGCGTCGAGGCCCCACTCGACGCTCGAGAGGCGCCCGAGGTCGCAGCGCGATGGCTTAATTTTTCGCGGGAAGGCACGTCGTTAACAGGCCCGCAGCATTTGGAGTAGGGCCCCTTGCCGCTCGTAGATCCTGCCGACGCGGTTGCGTCAGTCATCGAAGAGCGTACCGAAGTCGAGCTAGGTCCATGAGAACTGGCGCAGGACCTGTGCGAGGCGCCAAATTGACCCGCCCCTGCGTACGATCTGGACGTAGTCCTTGAGCTCGGTGGCCAGGCGGTTCAGGTCGGGGTCGCCCTAGACCTGTCGTCGGACCGCCAGGGTGGTTTCCTTTTGGGCGACGGCGTCGCGCTCGACGTGGCCAGGGGCGCGGACGGCCAGGAGCGCTCAGACATGCACTCATTGGTCGCCCTTGGGGCGGACAGCAGCCAGAAGCCCTTTTGTGGTAAGCCGCCTTGGCATTGCTGCTCGGGGACTGAATGTCCGTGCCCGCTGCGCAGACGCTGGCGGCGAGGGGCCGAACCTGGCGGGCCTTGGCCCCCATGCCAATGGGGGGGCGGCCAATGCGGGGAGGCGCGGGCACGCTGGCCTCGTGGGCGAGGTTCAGAACGCCCGCGAGCGACTCTGCCCCCGCGTTGACGCAGCCACCGACGAGTTTGACGTAGCCCTGAACTTCGAGGGGTCTCTGCTTGAGGGTGAGTTGGGAGACCCGATCGTCGAGGCCCTGGCGCAGCGCCCAGCCCGCAACCTTGCCGGGGTGGATCTTCTGGCCCGAGACGCGGCCGAAGGTTGCGGCGACTTCTATGGGCCGCCGCGGGTCCTCCGTGGAGTCAGTTGCTGAGTTGCCGTCGTCGACAAGAGCGGCGTTGAGGGGGCGCGCGTCGCGACGGCGTTGTCGGTTGACCCCTGAGCACGCGGGAGTTTGATGTCGTCGAGAGACCGCGACCTTCCCTGGGGGCGGCCGCCTGCGCGCTGGAGCGGGGGGGTCGCCCCCACCCCGCCCCCCCTTTCCGCGTGCATCGCTGGCGGCGGCAGTAGAAGTTGCGCCGCGCTCGGGCGACGCTCAGAGGGCGCGCCGCGCGCGGGGCGAGCGACTGGCAGATGTCGGTCGCGAGGCAATCGAAACAGCTCTTCCTGTCGAGGGCACCGCCCGCCAGAGGGAGGGCGAGGCGTCGCGCGTGCCCAACGCAGCGGGCCAAACAAGTGCCGACGTCCCCAATGGTCGCTTTCGGGGCGGCGCCGAAGCTGGCGGAGCGGGCCCGGCCTTTTAGCCGCTCGCCGACGCCGCGGTGGGCGGGGGCCTCCCAGGCGCGCACCTAGACCGACGCGGCGGACAGGGGCCGTTGGTCGGCGGGGAGTTCGCCCATGCCGTTGCGGAGGCATGGGTCGGGGAAGTGACGGAGGGGCTCGGGGGCGTCGCCCGCTCGCTGCGTGGCCCGCGGCGCCTGGGCGAAGGGCCGCAGGATGGCGCCAGGCAGTGGTTTGGCCCATCGGGCGGCCCAGCCGCCCGACCCGCCCGCCCTTCGCTCGGGGCGGCGGCGGACGAAGTCAACGGGCGCATCGCCCGTGAGGGCAGGCGGGGCAGCGGCGACCAGGATGGGGAGTCCTCGCGCATGTTCCTCGTGGAAGCCCCCCCCCAGGTCGGCGCGGCCTCATCCTTGCCGCGGCCCGCGGGGCGGAAGCGCGCGAGGATTGGTTCCCGCGCGGCGACCATGAGCTCGAGCATGGCTTTGGCATCCGCCAGGGCGGTGTTCGCGGGGAAGGGGCCGCCGGGCGCGTCGACATCTGAGCTGCTCGCGGAGCTCGGGGCGCCGTCGTCGTCAGGCGCCGCAGTGGCTTCGTCGCTATCGACGTCTGGGGGCTCTTCGCAGTGGACGGGCGCGCTAGGCGCGCGATCCGCAGGCGCGCGCAGGTAAGCAGTTGGCGAGTTGTCCCCCGCGCGGGCGTAGATGGCGGCCTGCCGCCCGTCCGTTTGTCGCGCGCGGGAGGCCCAGTTCGGCGCGCGTTCAGCGTTGGCCGCGGCGCCGGAGTTCTTTTTCGACTGCCGCGATGAGGAGTTCGAGGTGGTCACCGCGCGGCGGGGCCCGGCGATTCTGCGGGCGCGAGTGCGGTGGGCCGCAGGCGCGCGGCCAGAGCGCGGTCGGCGGCCCGCGTGAAGTTCTCCCGCTGGGCAAGGTTGCGGTCGGGGTCGGGGGGCCGAGTGCCGCGCGGGCCGCGAGCGGCGATGGGCCGAAGTTCCTCGAGTTGCCGACGCAGTTTGTCGATATGGCTATTGCGCTCGGTAGCGGCACCGAGCTCGGGGAAGGCCTTTGGGGCAACAGGTGTCGGGAGGAGAGCGAGTGTTTCCCCGCGGGGGCTGGGGGCTCGCTGGCGCGGTTCGTCCGCCGCGGGAGGGGGTTGGTCACGCTGCGTGGCGAGATTGCAGGCGCGCCTTGCTTTGTTGGCGACCTGGAACATCTCCCGCGCGTCGTTGGCGCGGTCAGCGTCGGCGAGGGCCGTTGGGCAATTATGGGCGATGATATCGCCCGCTCGTTGCTCCTCCCACTGCGCGTTTGCGGGCGGGGGGCGATGCGGCAAAGGGTGTTGGACGCGCGGGGCTATCTGATAAAGGCAGTCCAAGTCGAGCGCGGCCCGGGGCCCCAGGCGCCGCCTGGCGGGGAGATTGCGGAGCAAGGCGAAGTCTGTGACCAGGTGGGCCCCCGCGGTGTTGGCGAGGACGTGACCATCCGCGTGGCACCTGAGCACTCTGCGCGAGGGTCCCAATCTTTGCTGGCACCAAAGGTGTGCGCGCTGGCGTCGGGAAGCCCTTGGCCAACGTTGTGCCATCCCTCCTGCAGCACGCGAGCCAGGAAAGCGTCGGCGTTAAGGTCCGAATTTGCATCTAGGCAGAGGAAGTGTGGGGGCCGAGCCAAGCCTGGCAGCCGCGGCCGCGGCTTTGCGGAAGAGAGCAGCACTGTCTCCGCTGGCGTAGCTAGAAAGTTAGGCCGCGTAGATGCCCCCAGGGGCGAAGCCTCGCCGCCTGCGGGGTTTCGTGGCACGCGGCCAGAAACATTCCTGCCACCGCGCGGTCTTGCGGAGAGCCGCCGCAGCGGGGTCTTCAATGTCAGTGTCGACCAGGACGGACTGAGCGAAGATGGCGACCCCGCCTTGTTTGGTGGCTGCAGAGACCGCGGCATGGTCAGCGCCCCTGCTGCGGCCTTGGCGGGGACTCAGCCTGGCGGAGGCGAGAGGCCCTAGCGGGCGGTCCAGCTGCCATGGAGGGTGGCGGTGTCACGTTGTTGGCGGGGCTGGAGGCGCATGTTCCAGTGTGTCTCAAGACTTGTTGCGTTGAGACTGGCGAAGTTCATGTGGTGCAGGCCGTCGCCAGCTGAATGGCTTGCGTTGGCGCGTCGGCAGCGGTTGGTATCCTCGGGGCTCGACCAGGGCTGGGGCAGGCTAGGGGGCGGAGTGGCGACTCGGGGGGCCGTCAAAGGCACGGCTGCAATCAGTGCCATGAGGCCGCTGGGAGGGCAGTGAGCCGACGATGGCATTGCCGCGGGGCCCCCTCTTGACGTCGGCGCCTGCGGCGGGGGAGCGACTGCGATCAGCCACCCCGCGCCGCCCTGGGGGCGACTTGTCGAACGCAGCCTCGGCATGACAGCGGGCGGCGGCGCTGGGGGGGGGGGGGGGGGGGCAAAGGTGCGCGAAACCAGTGGAACTTGTAACTCGCGATCGGGCAGCAGCGGCACGCGCGCTCGTGTACACGGCGCGAGGACTGGGCTGTCGCACGGCCAAGCAGGGTGCTGGGACGTCGCCCGCGTGGCGCGGCCAGCTGCGGGTGGTCGCGCCAGCGGTGGGCACTGACTGGGCTGGGGCGCAGAGGGCGGGCGGTGGGCCGCATGGCCAGGTGCGCGCACAGGGGCACAAGCCTGGCCACGCTTTCAGGCGTTGGAACAGCTCTGCGTGGGTGACGAGAGCCTGGCCGCCGTTGGGGGTTACCCCCGCGGTGGCCGGGGTCGAGGCCACGGTCGTGGAAGCCAGCGGGTAAGGACTGTGATCTTTCGCCCACGGCCGTGGCTGTGGCTGGCAGGCGGCGGGCGTGAGGTCGCCGAGGTTCGCCATGCCGCCGCCTGGTGCGGTGTGCGCGGCATTCATGGGTGCGTCGGTGTGCACCTGCGAAGCGCGGGTAACGCCTAGCCCCGAGTCCACAGGGGTGATGCTGTACACTTCCAGCTTGGTGGGCGTAGGTGGGCGTGGTGCTACCGTCGTCAATGCCTAAATCCCCGAATCCCCTCGGGTACCTGGGTGTCGCCGAAGTGGACGCGCATGGTGGGCGTGGCGCTGACGTCGTAGGTGCCAAAATCCTTGTATCCCGTGGGGTACCTGGATGGTGCCGAACATCGCCGACATGGTGGGCGTAGGTGGGCGTAGTGCTGACGGCGTCAGTGTACAAACCCCCGAATCCCCGGGGGTACTGCGGGGCCGCCGAGCAGGACGCGCGTGGCGAGCGTGGTGCTGACGTCGTAAGTGCTAAAATCCCCGCATCCCCTGTGGCACCAGGGTGTTGCCGAACATCGCCTGCATGGTGGGCGTAGTGCTGGCGTCCTAGGTGCTGCTGCTGCTCGTCACCGTCGGGGTGGGCGTGGTTCAAGCTTGGTCCTGGCGCCTGGTTTGTTGCGCAGGTATTAGCGACGGTGGTGTCAACCTGCGGCGGCAGCGGTGCTCCTGGGCAGTTCGTCGTCGTTTCGGTCGGGGGGCTTTCTCGGGGGCCCGGCGTCTGAGCAAGAGTGAGTGTCCAGAGGACCTTCCCAGGGAGCCTTGTCAGGCGGGCCTGCGAGCGCCGCCCCCTTGGCTACGTCCTGGGTTCGGCGCCTGGGGCGCAGCGGGAAGGTGGAAGGTCTCCGCTCCAGGTTGCCACGGGCGGCTGGGGGGAGGGCCCCTCCTGGCCTCAGGGCGCGTCGCAAAAGCGTGCCGCGCGGGCCGTTGGGGCGCAGAACTGCAGATCGCGCTCGGCGGCGCTGCAGTGGGCCAGAAATGGGGGCGCCAAAGTGGTACCCGATTGATTAGGGGTGAAGCTTTCGTGGTCAGCACCTGCACAGCAAGGGTAAAACCCGGCTCGGCGCGGCAGCCGAGGCTTCCCGCGCTCGGGCACCAGCCGGGGGGGGGGCGGGGCACCGCCTGAGAGCGGGCTCCCTTCGAGAGAGAGAGAGAGAGAGAGAGAAAGAAAGAAAGAGAGAGAGAGAGAGAGAGAGAAAGAGAGAGAGAGAGAGAGCGAGAGCGAAAGCGAGAGCGAGAGCGAGAGGGACGAAGAGAGGGGGAGGAAGGGTGTGCGGGGGATGGGGATGATGGGAGGGGTGCGTGGAGGATGGACGGGGTGAGGAGGGATGGGTGAGGGGCGTGCACGTTTCTTGTGAGTGGTTCACCATGGAGGCACATGATTGGCGCTGTTGTTCCAGCAAGCAGAGATGTCACACCTGCCCAAGACCTTCCGCGAACAAAAGAGGTCTGGCGCACTTGATTCCAGCAGGCGTGGAGGTCTGACATACCGATCATCAGTGATGAAGTCATGTTCGTACAAGCGCGGCGCCCCTCCACCGTCCAGGAGGCGCAGCTTGCGCGTCCTGGCAATGTCCCCTTCCCTGGGGTGCGGAGGGCATCCGAGATGAGAAGAAGGTGGAGGGAGAGGAGGGAGAGGCATGGGGAGAGCGGGGGGAGGGAGGGGAAATTTTGAGAAGGGGGACCCCTCCTAATCCCTCGTCCTCCTTCCTCCTCCCTCCTCTTTTTCCCCCTGTACATCAACAAGATCGCGCGAGGTGTGCGCGCTCCCGAGTGCGGGAATCTATCTACTGTTTTATCGTCGCAGCCTCCCCCCACCACTCTCCTCTCTTTCGTATTGCGACCCTGAACTGGAACGACGACAACGGCGGCGGCGGCGGCGACGACGACAACAGTGGGCCAGAGTCCTCCGGGATGCTTCTGAGGGTCTCTTCGGACGGCACTCGGGGGCCTCTTGGGGAGGAGTTGTGTGGCCTCTTTGGAGCCTCTTGGGGGCCTGTTGGGCGCCTCTTCGTTGTCTTGTATTCGCTCCTTCTCGCCCTCTGTCCTCCCTGCTCCCTCCTCGCGGCAGTCCGACAGAGCTTGGAGGACGACATTCCGCCTCCTCCTCCCCCGTCCTCCCTCCCTCCTGCGCGGGCCGGGGCGACTGCAGGACCGAGGCTGCCGGCAACGCGACCCTGGGCCAGTGGGCGCAGAAGTGGCGCAAGGAGGGGTACGCCAGTTGGGCGGACTGGAAGGCCCACAAGAAGGACGGAGAGGGCAGCCCCTTTTACTTTTCCTCATTTTTCCTCCCTTTTCCCTCTCCTTCCCTCCGTTCCCCCCCCCCCGCACCGCACGCGGCGGGAGCGTGGAGAGTAAAGGAGGATGGAAGTGGGGAGGGAAGGTGAGGGATGATGAGGAGAGAGAGGGGGGGAAGACAGGAGAGGAGGGAGGAGAGAAAAGGGCGATGGAGGAGGGAGGGGGGACAGATAGGCAGAGAAGGAGGAGGGAGCAGGGTTGAGGGAGGGGGACGTAGAAGGTAGGAGTATGTATTCGAGCTACTCGAGTTTTTGTTTCATGGGGGCAGGGACTGTCGAAGAACGGCAACAGTGCGGTCGTGTCCTCCACCTTCTCCAATCCAGCTCGTCCATCATCACCTTCTGTCCTCCCCCTCCTCTTCAGAACTACTCAGAGCTCTTAATCCGCCAATATGCTCATCCTGTATCAGCCTCACTCCTCCAGCCCAAGCCTCACCCTCACCAGCCCTCACTCCTCCTCAGCGGACCAGCTTCACTCCGAGTCCATCCCTCTCGTATATCTGCACCTGCTCATCGCCATCGTCGTCACCCGCTTCATTGTCATCACCAGCATCGTCCTTGTCCCTCTTCCTCCTTCCTCTTCCTCTGCCTCCTCCTCCTCCTCAATCCTGCTGGACCGTATCATCCGCTGCAGTCCTCAGCTTCTGCCTCACCACGCACTCGCCTCATGCCCCAGCCCAACCTCCGTCCATGCCGCCTCTCCCCTCTCTCCCTCTCCATGTCCATCTCCCGCTTTGCCTGTGCATCCTCCTCCACCCGTTTCCTCCCTCATCGCCCTTCCCCTGGTCGCCATCCCCTCTCACACTTTTCCGCCCGTCACCCCTCCTCTTCCATCATCATTACCATGATGATATCATCCTCATCATCAGCATGATCATCTTGATCCTTCTCTCTGCACATGTTCGCCCTGCACCGCCTCTTCCTCGGTGCCGCCGCGCACCCCCGCCACCCCTCTCCCGCCTCTGCGCTTCTGCTTCTGCTCATCCTCATCCTCCTCGTCTCCTCCTCTGTCCTCCCTCCCCCCCGGCCAGGACAGGCAGAAGCAGCTCGAGGCCCTCGGTAGCGTCTTCAACGAGAAGGACGCCGACGAGGCGGCGGCGGCGGTAGAGAGCCTCGCATGGCCGGCCCACGAGAGGCTTCCCAAGCCGGCGATCATCACCATGCTGAATAGGGCGCGCCTCGGCAATCGCCTCTTCCAGTGGTCGGCGCTGCTGGCCATTGCGAAGGAGGCGGGCGCGCGCGTAGCGGCTCCCGCGAACGGCAGGTACACGCCCACCTCGACCCCGCAGATCGCCAACCTCGAGGAGCTGATCTGGTCGGGCGAGGAGATGGACTGGCTGAACGAGCAGCCCAACAAGTGCCACATGTGGGACAGGGACTCCCCGCTGACGCTCGACCTCGGCATGGAGAAGCTGCAGAACTGGACGCTCGCAAACGTCCCCAAGGGTGAGACGCACGTTAAGGCTCAGGAGTGAAAAACACAGACACACATGATCGTCGATTCCCACGAAAATATGGGAACGTTTGGGCATTGAAGGGGAAGGCCGAAAATCCAGAAACTCAATTAAAGAAGATTGGGAATCCTGGGATTTGTGTCTACTTCTTTGTGCGTCCCTGGGCCCCTTCAGAGGCCGCGGTGCAGCCGAAGAGGGGAGAGAACTGGGCGCGCCTGTGGGCGGACGCCATCCTGGACGCGCCGACCACCGAGACCGGCAGTTGCGACGTCGTCGAGCTGGACGGGTTCTTTAGATGCTCGTTTGGGGACTTTCCTAGGGCCCACCTAACGGATCTGTTCGACTACGTAGTTCGACACCAATTCGATTCAAGTTCGATCCAAGTTCGATTCAGGTTCGGCTCAGGTTCGACTCATATTCGACCCAAGTTCGACTCCGCTCGACGGACTTTCGACGCAACTTCGACGCAAGAGTGGAGCGAGTGGCTCCAGGAAGGTCCCCAGAATGAGCATGTAAGGTTCTGGCAGCGGGCGGAGTTCTTCGTGCACCACCTGGACTGGCTGCGGCCGACCTTCTGGAACTCTTGGCCTCCCAGATGGGATCCGTGTAGAGGGGGTCGGAGGAGCGCGCCACGTCGCCGACGCATCGGCGATGCGGCTCGATGCGGAGCCCGATTGTCGCTATGCCGACGTCGCCGATGCATCGTCGCCGATGCATCGGCGGCGCCGTCGGTGCGTCGCCGATGCATCGCCGATGCATTGGCGATGCATTGTTGATGCGGCGCGATCCTCCGACCCCATCTATTCGGACCCCATCCGGGAGGCCTCTAGGAACGCGGAGACTGCCGGCGTGGCCAAAGAGACATTGGACGGTTGTTGGAGCAGGGGACGACAAACTGTATAACGGCAGAAGTCTTTCTTTCGCTGGGGGCGCCCGTCCCAGGGCGGCCGGGGAATATATTCTAGTGCCTTACGCTATTCCGCGGACCCCTAGAATGAGTGAGAATTTGCGAGGATCGTGGTGGTCCTCCTCGTGACCTTCGGGCCAACCCGCCACCGTGCCTGGGCTGCGGGTCAGGAGACTCTCGGATGCATATGAGAGGCTCTTGCAATGCCTCTCAGGGGCCTCATTGACGGCTCTTGGGGGCATTTGGAGGGGCCTCGTCGGGGCTTTTTGGTGGCCTTTGGGAGGCCTCTGGGGGGCCTCTTGGGTACGCCTCCAGTGCCTCTGGGGGGCTTTGTGGGCCATCTTGGTTGGAGAAGGTCAAAATCGCAGTTCGAATTCACCCTCTTGGGCCCTTCTTGAGGCCGTCTTAGGGCTCTTCTGGACCTTCTTGGGGCCCTCTTGGGCCGTTTTTTGGGTCCTCTCGGGGGCCTCATGGGCCATCCTGGGATTGTGGGGCCTCTTGGGGCCCTCTTGGGAGTCCTCTTGGAGCTCTCTTGGGGCGTCTTGGCAGCTTCTTTGTCCGTCTTGGGGCTATCTACAGTAGTTGTGAGGCCTCTCCTGCGTTTTGTAGCCCAGCTAGAGTAACGATCAACCCTCTGTTGGGCAATTTCGAGGCCACGGACTTCAGATTTGAAGGCTCTAGAGGCCCCGGAGATGATACGCTTAGGAGCTCGGCGACCCCCCCCTCCCCCGGGTCGCGCCCCGCACTCGAACGCGATTTGGAGCTTGAGGGGATGGGGACATAGAGAGGGGGAAAGCCAATCATCTCACACGCCTCTGCAACCGTGGCAAGTGGGGGTCAGCGTATACACCGATTCGGAGCTCCTCATAGTAGCACGATGATTGTAGGGGGATATGTTTTCAGCCGCTCTGCGACAGGCGATCCTGGTTCACTGTATCAAGATCTCTTGCTGTCTTTCTGTCTTTCCTCTTTTTTTTTTTTCTCTCTCTCTCTCTCTCTCTCTCTCTCTCTCCATATGTATGTACACAAGCAGCATGCAACTCTGTGTGTACCCAGCGCTCCGCCCTCTAAGGTTGGCTGAGCGAGACGGGTGTCGTGGGCGCGGTAGTGGGTGTGCACCTGCGCCTTGGGGACTATCCGGTTGCCTGCGGCAGGTTTCCACCACTGCGCCAGCGCAGCCTCGGCGTGTCTCCCAGCGTGTCCAGCCGAGCTGACTTGGCTCTTGCCGAGGGGTGAGGCGTAATCCTGTTGCGGCTGCCTCGAAAGCAATGATTCGATCCTGTAGCGCGGCGTGGCCGTCCCGCTGCACGGTTGTGTTGTCTTTTGTTTGGGGGTCCGTTGGGTGACTCGTTGGGGGGCTTCCCCAGTGCCACCTGCGGCTCCCTCTCAGAAGCTTCTTTGGATGTTTCCAGGCGGTCGTTCAGGGGCCTGTTTGGGCGTCTTCGGGCCGCCTTGGTCGATGATTCCACCGCGCTCTCCCGAAGAGGCTCGGCAGAACCGCTGTATCTGCCGTCTGAAAATGTTTTTGGGCCCTTCTGGCAACCTCTGATGGCGATTCTGGGCCGTCTTGGGGGGCCATGATGCCTTCTGATATAGCGCTTTCTGCCCCTGCTGGCAGGGGCAGGTGGTGTATCCCCCCCAAAAAAAGAAATATAGACGGGGGTGCAGGGGAGGTCCAGATTCCCCCGCCCCCCCCTCAGAAAAATCCCACCAGCCTTTGGGGCGTAGGTGGTCTAGAGCGGTTTCTCTTTCTCTTCCAACCCCCTACTTCCCTTTCGGGGAGGGGCCTATTCATATACACCCCCTCCCCCAGGCGACCGACAGCCAACCAGCAACAATGATAACCCCATAAGGCCCCCCCTCGTCATCCCTGTCAAAAACAATACAAGTACATTTTGGGGCATGTTCGTGAGACCCACGAGGATTTTGTTTTTTTTTGACAGGGGCGGCAGGGGTGTCAGCATATAGCCTGCTGCGCGCTGGGCGACCTTCCCTGGCCACAAACAATACACAATGCATCCCGCGGCTAAATCTGGATCATGCGCGGCCACCCCGCGATCACTGTCACGTGGTGGCGTATGGCCTGCTGTGCGCAGGCCCGCCAGACACAATGATGGACACTTGTCTTGGACATAGGTGGTGGGGGCCGACATGTTTCCCGATGTGTGTTGTCTAGTGCATAGGCGCACCTGACACACTCTGCACGTGCCCCGAACGTGGCGCACCTGGCGCGGCTGGAGTATACGGCACACCTAGCGCACGCGGAGGCACGTGGCGCATCTGGCGCACCAGGCGTGCCTGGCCCGCTCGGGCCCCGGGGGAGCCCTGGCGCTTGTGCCGCGCCTGGCACGCGTGGCGCACCTCGCCCCAGCGTCGCGCACATGGGCTCAGTTCTGGCTCCCAATAGCTGTCCATCCAAAGACGACGCTGAACATGCAGAGGCTCGGGTGTTACTTCTGTGTTGGGAGGGCGTGTGGGAATGAGCTCGACGGCTTGCTATCTAGGAGGTGTCTTGACCCCTCCCCGTACCCCAACTCTTGGACCTGGAGGAGGTTTCGCGAGGCGTTGGAGCGTCCAAACGGCCCAAGATGGCTGAGGGCCTGAAAGAGCACAAGATAACCTCCACGATGGCTCAGGATAGCCTAAGATGGCTCCAGATGGCTCCCAAGATGCTCCCAGAGGCCTCAAGACCGCTCCAAGACGGCTCCGGATGGCCACAGAGCCTCTCCCTGGGAGGCCGCCAAGAGGCCAGATTTTTCAATAACCGGAAGAAAATCAATACATTGTGCCTCCTCGCCTTTTCGCTTCCGATGGCCTTCCGAGGCCTCAAGGCAGCTCCAAGGGGGCCCCAGGAAAGGCCCAAGAGAGCCCCAAGACGCCCCCAAGAGCGTCCCAAAAGCGCTCCAAGAGGGGCCCATGAGGCGATTGTGGGGGCTTCCGATGGGGGGAGGCTAACTGAGGAACCCTCATTTTTTGCTCGAGCTCTTCCAACATGGCCCCAAGAGCATTCTCAAGGCTCCAAAGGGCGCCTCACGAGGGCCCCGAAAGGCGCCCAGGAGGCCCCAAGAGGCCTCCAAGAGGCTCACAAGGGTCCGAGAGGCCCCAAGAGCTTCCCCGAGGCACCCAAGAGCGATCCAAGAGGGACCCCGGGACCCTTCCTTTGTGCGCTGCCCAGTTCCCTGATAGAGGCAACTCCTCTGGGTATCGTTTCTGGATGGGCTGGTGGTTTCTTGTTGGTCGCGGCCGCAAGCGAAAGCGGAGGCGGCGTCCGAAATCAGCCCGGGCTACGGGCGAAACTAATTACCTAGCGCGCGAACTAACGGCCGCTGGAGCTGCCGCCGAGGGGCGCCGGGCGACGCCAGAAGGCAGAGCTGCAAGAGGTGCCAGGTGTGACAGGCGGTTGAAGCGCAACCACCCCAGGGGCGAGACCACCAAGAAGGCAAACGAAGTGTACCTTGTCGCGCCAGGCGCCAGAGGTAAGTGTGCCACCGAGAAGAGCACGGCATAGCGCGGGGCTGAGCAAGCAGCCCAGCGTACTTGTGTCGCATGCCAACAGTGGCAACCTCACGTGGTTGAACAAGAAGGCTAAACCACGAATGAGCAATCCACGTGGAGGTGCACCACCAATGCAAGGCGGCAGCTGCAAACACGGCCAGGCTGTGGCAGTGCCTGGGAACATGCAAGCATGCTAGCTGGAGCTGGTCGATGTGCAAGTCACCGAGACGCCGGGGTGACCTCACCGGCTCAAAGAAGCCACCACGGACACCATCAGACGCCAGGGACGGAGAGCGAAAACCCGGAAGCCGCAACCAGGCTGGCTGGTGGGGTTATTTTTCGATCGCGAGCGACGCAGACAGCTGCGCGCCGTCCAATGGTCAAGCGACAGGCCAACCTAACAGGACAGGCGGAAAAAGGGCCACAACGGCGGCGAGAACTGCGCGGCGGATGAGAAACGAACGAAAGCACACAGGGGGCGAGGCGACGAAGAGCAAGAGGGCGAAAGAGCAATGAACAGCGACACAGAAGGAGAGCGAGGGGCGAGAAGAGACGCGGCAGAGAGGACGAACAGCACGAGGCGGAAGAGGGAGAAAACAAGAGAGATGCGGAAGAACAAGGGCGAAGCAAAGAGAAGACGCGACAGAGAGAAAGAAACAAGCTTCAGGCTCAGGCCATAAGGAGCCAGCGCCTGTAGTAAGGGCGGCGTACCCAACCAGTGCACACAGCTGGGATGTCGCAGAGTGGCCACCGGCACGGGGAGAGAGTAAGCAGAGAGCACGCCGCCATTCATCAATCAGGCTGGCTGGCGGGGGTACTTTTTAGTCAGCGGCCGCGGGCGAGCGCGCCAGCGGCGAGTCAGGTCAAAGCGGGCTACGCAGAGACTAATTCGGCAGATGCGGGTTGGTGGGGTTGCACGGACCGTCAAGAATTAGCCAGAGGGGTCCAGGATCCGGCCCCCCCCGCCCCCCCCCGGGAACTTATTCGAGGGGTCCAGAAACCCTTTCCCCGCCCCCCGGCAGCGACGACGACGACGACGAGGTCGCCGCCGCCGCCGGCAACCGACGGCAAACGACGCGGACGCGGACAACGTCGACGACGACGAGGACGGAAACGCCGACGACGACGGCGACGACGATGACGACGACGATGACGACGAGGACGAGGACGACGACGACGACGACGACGACGACGACCACGACCACGACGACGGCGACCACGACGACGACGACGACAACGACGACGACGACGACGGCGACGACGACGACGATGACGACGACAACGACGACGACGACGACGGCGACGACGGCGGTGGCGATGGCGGCGACGACGGTGGCGGCGACGACGACGACGACGAGGACGCCGACGCCGACGCCGACGCCGACGACGACGATGACAACGAAGACGGGGACGACGGCGTCGACAACGACGACCACCACGACGACGACGGCGAAGACGGCGACGACGACGACGACGATGGAGCCATAGTGGGATGCGACAAAGGCTGGGTCGAACCCTCGCAGCAATTCTTTTACAGGTGGATGGACCCTTGTCATAGGATTCTCACGGAGCTGGATCCAGTCCTCGTAGTAGTCTCTTCAAGCTGGACCGAGCGTTCGTAAGATTCTATTAGAGCTGTATCCAACTCAAGAAGGAATTTGCATTGATGCTGGACCGAAGTGTAATACCATTCTATCAGGGTTGGCGCCTGGCGCGAGCGCCAGCGACAGGTGTGCCGTCGCCGCCGCTGACGTTGACCGCGTCGTCTGCGTCGTCGTCGTTCTCGTCGTCGGCGTCCGCGTCGGAGTCGGCGTCGGCGTCGTTGTCGGCGTGGTCGTCGTCGACGTCGTTTGCCGGCGGCGGCGACGTCGTCGTCGTCGTCGTCATTGCTTGTGTGGGGGGGGTTTTGGACCCCTCGAATCATTTTCCCTGGGGTGGGGGACTTGGGCGCTTCCGGATAATTTCCCGGGGGGTTCTTTGCGGGGAGCGAGGGGGGGGGTTTGGGTCGGGGGGTCGGGGGGGCAGGGAGGGAGGGGGCCCCCCTGACAGCTGACCCCTTTTTTATATCACTTCATCGCATTCCGCGCATCCCCACATATAGTTAAACAGGGCGGGCAACGGGGTTGAGCAGGAATATCTGCGGGAGCAGGGGTGTGATTTTGGGGAGCCTTTTCGGGCCATCTGTGGGGCCCGCGTTAGCGAAAGGAGGAGGAAGGGGAACAGTAGGAGGAGGAATCTGGTTACGACGACCACGACGACGAGGAACAAGAGAAAAAGGAAGAGGATGACGACGAGGGCAAAGACGAGGACGAAGAGGACCAGGAGCAGGAGGAGGAGGAGGAGGAGGAGAACAAAAAAACACGACGACTCTGACAGCCAGCTGGGGGGGCTCTGGAAGCCCTCCTGGGGTGTTTTTAAAATTCTCTCGGGGCCCCTTTTCGGGTTTCTTGGGACACTTTTGGGGAGAATCGGGATCATTTAGAGATTTTTTAGACGGTTGCGTGGCCCTTTTGGAGGCCTCTTGGGGGGGCCCTGGAGAGCCTCTTGTGGAAACTCGAGCCGTCTGAGCTTAATCGTATCCTTGTGGGCAGTATATTACACATATGTGTTTGCACCCGTGCGTGTGCAGACCATGCTTCGCGGAAAAATGTTCCCCTTTTTTTTCGCCAGCGCAGCAGCAGGCTTCACAGACCAGCAGACGCAGGAACTGTCCTGTATGCCCCGAAAACATATCAACCAGATTGTGAAGCAGGCCGTTGGCGCAGGATCAGAAAGTGCGGCTCGACACGCTCACGGCGCAGCGACAAATAGCGACGCCTCCGACCCGTGGGCGAAGGTAGACCCATGGCAGGGGGCGGCGACGGTCGCGGTGGAGGCCGAGGAGATGGTGCGCGATGGGATGCAGGAGGGTGGCGGGCAGCTTCCGGCGATGCGCGGTGGGAATCCTCAGCCCCCGCGGACTAGAGCCAGGCCGACGGCAGATGGAGTGCGAATGACAAGACATGGGGTGCCGGTTCTGCCTGGGCGGGCGCCTCATGGAGCCAGGGATCCTGGGAGAGACCCGACATGTCAAACCCAGACTCCAGGCTCGGTTGGGGCGAGTATAGTCTCTGGCGATGGCTCGCCGGCACCAGAGTTGCAGTGAGTCGCCGCTCAGATCGCGTACTCAAGGTGTTGGATCTAGACTGGAGGAAGAAATTCGAGGATTTCCCAGACACAATCCTAGCCTCGGCGGTGGGGCCCGAGGTGATCCTGAAGCAGCTGGACATCCTCAGCGGTCAGCGCCAGGACGACGAGATGCGAAGGACAGGCCGAGAGTGCTTGCGCGGTTGCCAGCGGCGACAGGGTGAGTTCTCGAGCATCTACGCGGCGCGCATGGGCCAGGTCTTCTACCAGCCGGCGACGCAAGGGCTCGATTTCAGCAGCAGGTGGCGGCGCCTCTTCGTCGAGGAGGAGTCGGCCTCGACGACTCTGGGCGCCAGATGCTCAAGATACTCAGCGGGAGCGCAGGCGAGTGCACGGAGCTCTTGCGGGCACTGCCCGAGATGGACATGAACCTGAACGAGATGCTAGCACGAGGGTCCGGCGGCAAAAAGACCCTCCTCGAGAGCGAGGGCGCGCGGCCTTCTCCGACTCGTGTGCCGCGCGGCGACGATGAATATTGCCAGAGCACTTCGTCCCTGAACTCAGAGCATGAGAACCATGCTCTCACGGCGATCGATCAGGCAGATCTCGCGGAGCTGGAGGCACCGACGGTCCTAGCGGAGCTTTCGGCGGATAACAAGAAGAGCTGGAAGGACGACGAGGACTACGAGGGGCGTTCGAAGGTGGGCAGACGCTTCTCCCCGACGGCTTCGGCTCTCGAGATCGAGCTCAGCGACGAGGACATCGAGGACATGTAGAAGAACGGCTCTCTCCTCAGCAGTTCATGAAGGCCGCGAAGCGCCACGAGTGCAGGCAGAGGGGCCATTGGGCCCGAGAGCGTCCTAATCCCCAGGTGGCGGATAGCCCCGATCAGTTTTGCGGTTCTGTGCTGGCCAACGGCGGCGCCTCGCCTGGCCGCGCGCTGATTGTCGCCCTCTCGCGCGACCCGATCGCAGACCTGATCGACAGGCAGGCCCAGCGAGCACCCCCTCTCCTTCCTAATCGCCGACGGGGGCGAGATCATAGTGGGCGCCGCCGCTGGGCAGGGCTTCGCAGGTCCCGCATCCTTATAGAAAGCTCGGCGATTGCCTCGCGGATTTAGGATATCGGGTTCCTCGGGCCTCCAGTTGCAGCCGTTCGGCTCGGGGAGCCGGCGGTCAGACCGCAGTCCTCGCAGGGCTTCTTGTGCCCGCGGGAATCGAAGGCCACGAAGGCATCAGGGAGCTCAACTCGCTAAGTTAGGGGGTTCCAGCCTTGATGCCAGTGGACATGCAGGACGCCTTACGAGCCATCATCTATCTACCAGAAGAGTCGATTGAGTTTAAACAGTTGGGTGCGACGACCAGCTCAGGAGGCCTCCTTCGGGTCATCGCACCATTCGCATCGATCCGCTGCCCATGCCAGGCGAGTTCCAGTTGCCGGCCTCAGCGGCCAGCAAGCACGGACTGTCTCGTTCAGATTTTCTGTTGCCCAGGCCACGCTGCAGGGGCCCCAGCGACGACGGTGTCGGCGGCGGCGGGGCAGCGCGCGAGGGGGTCGGCGAGGGCAGGTTGTGGGCCCCGGGTTCGAGCGCGGGCCCGGGGGCCGCCAAACTAGAGACCGCGCTCGATCAGGAACTATTCGGATCTCCAGCCCCCCGAAGTAGCAGTAGCAGACCCTACGACCAGTCCAGATCATCAAGCTCTCGCCTGGCCTCCAGGAGCTTCATTCAGCGCGCTAAGTTTATCCGGTACATCGCTTGGGAAACATAGGGCCTCCAGAAGCAGAACCTCCAGACCGTCCAGCTCGTCCCGCGCGCAGCGCTGACAGCGCAGGCTCAGGGATTCAAAGCGGGGACCGCAGAAACACGGAAGATGGGGGGGCGGAGAGTACACCGCCGGGCGAGGCTCGAAACGCAACGCCAAATCGTTCCATCGCGTCAGACACCCCGAAACCCACTGCGCCTCCCGTCTGCTCGGAGACAATCCGTTTCGCCCGAGCCCGTTTACCAGTGACCGCGCGAACCCCATTTTGCAGGCCCCCATCCGGCCTTCACTTCAGCACCGCCCTGGCGGGCACCGTGGGGGATCCGCAGCGCTGCGCGCTGACCGGCGCAGCGGCGCCGGTGGGCGCGTCCACGAAGGAGCTGCGCTGGGCCCACGTGGTCTCCTTGATTCTCAGAGCAGAAGAGAGTCTCGGGATTTCGCTCTTGGAGATGTTCCGTCGCGGCAGGGCGCGGCCGGCGGCGGCGCCCCGCCGCCGGCGCCACTTCGCGCGAGATGATACAATGCCGCCGCGATCCGACGAGGCGGCGGGCGGGGGCCAACTCCTGCGCGACGTGGATCAAGTGTCTCGACTGCGACCTCCGCCTCGCGTACTGCAGCAAGCCGGAGATCCAGGTCAAGCCCAAGACCCTGGCCATCAAGGGCGACCCCGACAGGAGCTCGAGGGGCGGCCCCGACGGGTCCGATGGCACGGCCGCGCGGAACCCCCGCCAGCGCCGGAAGGGCCAAGACGGCAAAAGCCAGCTGATTCAGAAGCTCACCGAGGTCGACGCGTCGAGGGCCCCAGAGGTTCCGAAGACGGTTCGCCCAGCGGCCCCGATTCCGCGCCACGTGCCGATGGAGGTGGGCGAGCTGGCCCAGGCGGAGATGGAGCGCGCCGACGTCAGACTGGCCGCCCAACGAAGTCCTCCAAGGGGATCGAGGAGACGCTTGCCGAGCTGGAGGGGGCCATCGAACAGCAGGGCGCGGCCATTCAGCAGCGCGGCCGCGCTCTGGAGATGCTCTCGTCGACCAGGGACCAGTCGGGAGTCGGGGAGGGCCCCGGGCGGGGGCTGCTCGGACAGCAGCTCCTGTTGCCACTGAGACCGCGTCGCCCGCGAGGCGAGCCTCGCGGCGTGCTCGTTGAACCAGCTCGTAGAGAGCATCGGCTGCGAGTCTCTTCTCTCAAGCGAGCTGTCGTCTCAGTCGAGGCGCCGGCCCCCGATCTGTTCTGCGCCCCAGGATGCGCGGGGGGGGATTGAAGCGGGCATCGGGGGGAGGGGCGCAGATGGGCCCTGCTCGACTACTCGGACGGACGGATGCATGTCCTGGCCAGCTCGGCGAACCCCATCCAGCAAATTCTTTTCCAATGAAGGGTGCCACCTGGCGGCGCGCCAGGGCGACTGGAGGTCGGCCGCGCATGACTGCGAGTTTAACGACGATTGCGTATCCGTGACTTTGAAGTGCCAGCGACGGGAGATGGAGGAAATGACCCGATCGCTTCGAACAGCCAAGCCAGGATCGAGCGGCGGAGAACGACCAGCACCGCAGCTCGGAGATCGAGCACGGGGGATCTCCCCCCGCAGTGCCAGTTTTGGGCAGTGTATCTCACCGGCTCCATCCAGTGCCTGCCCCTGGACCTCGTCTTTTCAGGAACCCTCTCCTCCTCTGCCCACTTTGCCCTCCCGACGAGAAATTGAACGCTGAAAAAAAAGAGTTCTTCCCCAGGGGGTCATGGCAGCGCTCCCCCCCAAGTCTGTCTCGAGGCCGCCTGGGTCGGAGTGTCTGGCCTGGGCCCTTGGGACCTCGCGACAGGCATGGATTTCAGAATGGCCCGCGCCAGGCAACTTGCTCGGAGTTCGGTCGAGGTCAGGCGACCAGGCGTTTCCCCTTGGAACCTCCTTGCACGGTTGTCAGCGTGGCTTTCGAGATTTCGGCTGGCAGCATGGATCCCGTCGAGCGGGCCCGCAGGAAGGCGGAGGGCATGGCCCTTCTCAGTTTCGCTGTGGAGCTCGCCGAGCTTCAAATATCCTGGGGGGGGTTTTGATATTTGAGCACCCCCAGTCCGCCTCCAGCTGGAGAGCGCCCCCTACGCAACGGCTTCTCTCAAGACATGGGGTTCGTGCCCGTCGTCTTCGACGCGTGCCGCTTCGGTCTCTGCGCGTCCGCTTCCGGCGATTAGTTCATGAAGTTTGCGCGGCCGCTCAGCAAAGACCCCTCGGCGCCCGAGGCCTTCAGGAACAAGAGGTGCGAGGGCGGGCGCCCGCGTCGCGCCCTTCAGGTGGGGTCCCAGACCCCCTGTGCTCAGGCCCCCCCCCCCCCCCCCCCCCCCGCTCGTCAAGCATCTGGCGATGCTTGCGCGCGACATAGCCAATCGCCGCTCCAGAGGGGTTACCGTCGAGGGCGTGGTCGGATGGGTTCGCCAGGAGCTCCCGTGCCCGAAAGAACGCGCGTCGTCCGGTTGCTCTTCCGACATCTTCTGGCCCTCGTTTCCCTTGGCGGTCGACTCCAGAGGGGCCCTCGGGGGGGGCTGCGGATGAAGCCCGCAAGCTGGCCCCGGGGACCGCGAGCCCCCTCCGGTGGAGTCGTCAGCCCCCGAGGGCGCCCCTCTCGACATATGCGCTAGAGTACGGGACATGATTCAAAAAGTGCACGTCAACCTTGTCCATCCATCCAAGCCTTTCTTCTTGCAGATTCACCGCGGCGCTCGCGCCAAGCCGGAAGCGATGCAGCATGTAGGAAGATAATTCTCGCGCCCTGATTGTGACTCGCACCCCCGCCCTGCTCGCCGGAGGTATGTGGCGACGCCCCGCGCCTGCCAGTTCAGCGGAGTTGTAGCTGCTGGTTCGTTCCATTTGAGATCCAATCGCAACTTGACGACCTTTCTGACCATGATATGCCACGGCGCTACCTGTCAGGTCGTGGCTCGATACCCAGAGGTCTGGAAGGACTGTTTTTTAGTCCGGTGATTATGTTATGTATGTTGGTCATTATTTATAGTCCCCTTACATATTCGTGTTACATGGTAGTTCGTTAGTTATATACAGTTATTGTTTTTTTTTGCTCTGCGCGAAAATGATTGACGGTTTGAGCCAAGATGGCCAGTGGATACACGATCGTGCACGCACCTTCTTGAGCCATAACAAGAGAGCACGGCTCGAGGAGGATGGAGGAAGAGGTCGAGGAGGATGAGGACGAGGTCGAGGGGACGAGGGAAGGGGGAGATGGAACGAAGTAGTGGAAAAAGGGGGCACGAGTGTGCGTGGACCGTGACATGCATGCAACGCTTGGCTTTCGAAAACCTTTCCAGGCCCCAGGGCTGTCCAGGAGCGAAAATATCTGCCCGCGGGAAGGGCGCGACGCACTGGTCATCAAAAACCAAGCATTGTGCATTATGGGGGCAATTCCACGTGCGCATCTTGCACATGGTTGTAGAAGAGGATGATCGGGGAGGAAGGGGGGGGCGAAGGGGGGGGAAGATGATAAGAACGAGAACGAGATAAAGTATGAAAGGGGGGATGGGGAGGACGATAAAGGAGAAAGAGGATAGGGAGGAGGAGGAGGAGGAACAAAAGGGGGATGGGGAGGATGAGTAGTCGTAGTAGCAGTAGTAGTAGTAATAATAGTAGTAGTGGTAGTAGTAGTAGTAGTAGTAGTAGTAGTAGTAGTAGTAGTAGTAGGAGGAGGAGGAGGAGGAGGAGGAGGAGAAATATGAGGGGGGGGGGGGAACATGAGGAGGGATAAGACGATTACGACTAATAATAATAAGAAGGCAATGACCAGTAATAACACGAAACGTAAGAATAATACTGCGACGAAGACGACGAGAATTGGGAGGGGGAGTTGGATGGGGGAGGAGGAAGATGAGGAGACGCATGAAGGGGGAGGAGACAGGAGGAGGAGGAGGTGGAGTAGGAGAAGGAGCAGGAAACGCATGAAAAGGAGGAGAAGGAGGAAGAGAAAGATGACGACACGCAGGAGAGGAGAGCCATCACAATTTCCACGCGACGACGGGC